TTTTAGCTTTGTAATTTTGTGGCTTTAAGATAATATTCCCTAAAAGAGACATACTGTTTTCACTTTCTAAAATAACTTTTAATACAATAACAAATGCTTGTAAATAAAAAAAAAGAATATAAAAGCATTTCGGGAACCAGCAGTTGGAGTAATGACTATGTCGCTGGACTTCCATGGAGTCGACCGTCCATGGAGTCAACTGTGGTTTGAATCTTGGACCCGCTGGCTTAAACTCATGCCGGGCGCGTGTGCGTGTATGCCCAAGATCCCGCGAGGAGAATGGAGGAGAATGGATTGTGGCGTGCGCAGCCCCCCCTGGCGGGGTGATTTCTCGCTTTCTATCTCTCTGTCTCTCTGTCTTTCTGGCGAGTGCATGCACCCTATAGCAAAAACCTCTCCAAAAAAAAAAGGCATTTCATCTGATCTTCTTCACTGTCTGGTTGGTCTGTATACTTCCAGAACTTTTTCTATGTTATGCATGTCCCTGAAAATATATACAGACACACTTCATATTGAGACTTTATTTTTTCCAAAGAAAATTATATTCTGCATATTATCTTCCAACTAGTTTTTCTTAATTATTTTGCCAGAGGCTACATACACTCCTCACAGATGAGAGAGAGAGAAAGCATCCCCCATGGGGAATGGTCACACCACAATCTCTTCTTCATCTCTCTCTGCTTTTGGGAGTTGAGGCATGCATGCCCACATCTGGCACATATTTTCAACCCATTGGGTCTGGAACTCAAACCCAGTAGTTGACCATGTGGGATCCAGCCTCCCTAACCACCAAACGGCTGGCCCACCCATCAGCTTTGTAAACAATGTTATTGACTTTTTCTCTACTAGCCCACATAAATCTACCACAGTCTCATAATGAGAATGAGTTTGGATAAACCAACCTTACTTAGTTATTCTTCTATTAACAGACATTTAGGTTGTTTCCAGTAACAAATCTAAACTATAAGTGGTGCTGGCAGGGAAATCACAGCAAAAGCAGCAGGACATGCGTGAATCTAGAGTGCTCTTACATGTCTCCACAAGATCGATGCCTAAAAGTGGAACTGCAGCGTGAGAGAAGATACTTTTAAAATGTAATAGAAAATACACTCTTAGGATCCCAAAAGGCTGCTTCATTTACACTCATTGAAGTCAATGGCAGTGCCGTTTCTCCTACATTCTGATCAATAATGTAATAGTGTTCATCTTTTTTCTTATTTTACTGAACTGACTGGCAAAAAATAGGATGTTTGTGGTTTTGTTGTTTATTTGATTGTGATGAAATGCGTTATCTTTTTGTATTTTATTGACTGGTTCTATTTCTTCTCATGAAGAAGAACCATCACAGTGCCTGCTTACCCGTTCAGTTGTTTTTATCTTTTTATAAATCCATAGAGACTCTCAATTTATTTGGTATATTAAGTATATTAAAAATAGAATATAAAATATATTAAACATCAATTTATTTGATATATACTCTTGTTTAGTATATGTGTTGTAAATATTTTTCCCTGATCTGTTTTATGCCTTTTATTTATGGGATGTTTCACCATAAAGCTATTGCCAATTTTTATGTATTGGATAGGTTTAATCTTTTGCTTATGGTTTCTGTGATCCATGCCATGTGGAGAAAGGTCATCCTTGTTTCATAATATAAAATCATTTTTCTATTTTATTTTGACACTTTCATTGCTGTTGGTGTTTGGATGGTATTTTGTTTGTTTGTTTGGGGAGGTTTTCGCTATAGGGTGCATTTGCTCATCAGAAAGACAAATAGAGACAGAGAGACAGAAAGCAAGAAATCACCCCCCAGAAGTGGGGGATGACCATGCCACAATCCCTTCTCCTCCATTCTCTTCTCATGATCTTGGGGATGCACGCACATGGTCAACTACATGGAAGTCCAATGACGTAGCCATTACGCTAACTGCTGGTCCCCCTATTTTTTGTGTTCACTTCATCTGGAGTTGCTTTTTGTGCACATGGGAATAGAAACTTATTTGTTTTCCAAATGGAAGTCAATTGTCACATCTCTGCTGAACATAAATACAACTTTTATCAAGTTACTCATTTTCATTCTCTCTGTGGTTTTCTTGGTCTGGTCTTGCAGTGCTCCACGCTGTTTTAAGGATTGTAGCTTTAGAGTATGTTTTTCTATCTGCTTGGGAAAGAACCCATTGTTATTTCTGTTTTTCAAAATATTCACACTTGTTTTTATGTGGGACTTTAGAATCAGCTACCACATTTTTCAAAAGTCATTCTTTCAGTGTTGTGTTTATAATGTCATAGAATACATAATTACTTTGATAAGAACAGATATCTTTACAATACTCAGCATTTTTAGCTAAGAATATGCTCTCTGTTCCTAAGTTCATATTTCTATTATGTCTGCTAGTTCAACAGTTTTACCATTTAAAAAAGTCATGCAAATCTTGCATATTTTTTGTTGTTTGTTCCTAGGGGTTTGAAGTATAATTTTATTGAGGTTGTTAATCTTCCCAACTTCATATCCCAAATGATTACTGCTTGACTCATGGCACAGGGGAAAGTATTGACTTCTGTTTGTCCATCATGTATTAATTCTAACGAATCTCAGCGGATGATTGTGAGTTTATTTAGTATATCATTTGCAAAGAATAGTTTTATCTCTTTTCTTCTAACACAGAAACCTCTTTAGTTTCTACCTCATCTTTTCTCACTCACTAGAACCTATAGAACATACTGAATAGTAAAAGTGAGAGTAGGCAACCTTGTCTTGTTTCTGACTCTTAAGTGTTTTGCATTTATATGACAGATATTGTATGTTTAGAGAACTGCTCTTTATCAAGTTGAAGAGGTTTCCTAGAATAACTTAATTAAAAGCTGGATCAAGTGACTAGACAGATGAATGGACAAATCCATCCATCGATGGTGCTCAGATGGATGGATGGATGGGTGAATAGATGGTGAGTGGATGAAGCATGGGTGGATAGACAAATGGATTGACAGGTGACTGCACAGGTGGATGGGAAAAGTGGTCTGAGTTATCAGAAAAGGATTCCCATTGGCTTTTCTTTTTCTTTTTCTTCATTTTTTTCTTTTTTTAGAGAGGTTTTTGCTATAGAGCGCGTGCGCTCACCAGACAGACAGAGAGAGACAGAGAGACAGCGAGAAATCACACCCCAGGGGGGATGGCCACGCTGCAATCCCTTCTCCTCCATTCTCCTCTTGGGATCTTGGGCATGCACATACACACGCCCAGCATGAGTTTAAGCCACCGGGTCCAGGACTCGAACCGTGGTTGACAATGTGGGAGTCCAGCGACATAGCCATTACGTTAACTGCTGGTCCTCCATTGACTTTTCTTAAATCATAAAGAAGTATAGAATTTGTATTCCCATTACATTAAACTCTGTTTGAAAAATATGTGCACCTCTTAAACATAACCATGGTCAAGTAGTCCTGTAGCTATGGTGAAAAGTTTGCTGGTCTCAACGCACTGAGTTATATTCCAATATTAAAAAACTACTTGGAAGATTCAGTTCAGATTTAGCAAGGCTGGCATTCTTGTCATCGTAAACTTTTAGAGTGTAACTTGGGTGTATTTTTATTTTTATTTTGAGTATGTTACTGGCGTTCTGTGTTGTGGTAAGATGTCTATGGAGCAGAGGGCATTCAAGAATGGGAACACATTCAGGAATGTCCTCAGCTCCCTAGCTTGGAGAGAAATCGTGGAGATGAGAAGATTGCAGGAGAGCAAATTTGCAGAGAATGACTTTAGTTGAGTTTGAGGGGCCTGTAAGGCATTGGAGCAGAATAAGGCTTGTAAAGCTTAGAAGGAAGAATATATGTGAATCTAAAGTCAAACTGAGAACTCAGTGCTGGAAATAGGACCTGATGCCCCCAGTCACTGGTAAGAGTTCACAGTGACAGTGAGATGCTGAGAGAATAGAGAGAGGACAGGGAAGCAGAACCCAAGGTGGCGGTCTGGGGGTCAGCAGCCATGCACTGTCCTAGGAGAATGGAAACTTGAAGAGAATAGTAGTTGGTCCCAGACACCAAGGAGTAAAGGAAGAGGGGAAAAGACAGGGCACTAGGAAGAACTTCAGTCTTAACCAGGATGAGGTCTTTATGTCTTCATCTAAGAGGGTTCCAGGTAAAATGAGGATAAGAGCCAGGAGAGCCCCACCATGTCCCAGTATGCAAATCAGTGCCTTTTACAGATGAGTAGCTGAGAGCCATCATTAGATGGATAGTTGGATGGATGATAGATGGATGGACAGACATAGGGAATGAAAGAGAAACGAGTGGATAATAAATGGGCAGGCAAATGAATAGAGAGATGAATTGACAAATGGATACATGGAAAGATGAATGAATGGAAACAGAGGTCTGAGGTTTCACAACTGGCTTTATGAACACGTTGGAACTCAGCTACAACTCCATGAATAGAAATGAAAGCAGAAGACTCTCCACATGGGAAATGCCAGAGTCAGAAACTTCAGAATCAGAAAAGATTGTCTACGGGTCAAGAGAAGAAGTTGTCCTGGCTGGACTCTGGGAACTTGTAGGCAGGAGGACTCAGAGGCTGGTGAAATGACCAGGAGAGGTCAGGCAAGTCCAAGCCAGCATAAGACTCACTTGGCCACACTGTCCGGTTGCCTGAGAGGACGGTGATTCAGGAATTGGCTGATCACCTGTTGTATGCAGCACTGCCCTCGGCACTGACAACATCAGAGAGTGAGGATACCCTCAAGCGATTCTATTGTACAAAGAACACTGGCCTCAATTAGAGGAATAGGCACAGGGACCCCTTTGGACCTCAGGAGCACCAAGAGTTGCCCCCCCGCCAACGTTCTACGGGTCTGGCCACCAACCTGCCCTGTGCCCAGGACACAGCTCCACCCACTGCAGCCCTGTGCCCGTTGTCCCATACCACAGGTTTCCTCTAGGCCCCAGGCCCCAGGCCCCAGGAGACAGACCCCAGCTGCTGACCACACAGGTTTTGGACTGAGGCTCAGTCACTGTGGTTTGTATTCGGTGGAGGGACCCATGTCACTGTCACAGGTAAGTGGCTCTCATGACCTTTACCAACCAATCTCACCCTCTGCTCTCTCTGCCTCTTGCTTTTCTCTCTTTGGGGGTTTCTTGAGCCTGAGCCCTCTGGCTTAGAGAGTGAAACCTACCCTTTCTCTGCAGGGTCTGTGGGAGGTGGACTGCTCTTGAGATAACAGTAGGAAGAGCCCCGATCAGGAAAGCCACTTTCATATTCCAACAGTCAGACATGTCCTGGGCCTGGGGGCCTGGGCTAGGGGTTTACCAGTGCAGTGGCTATTTTGCTTCTTTGAGGGCAGATGCTCAAGTGGAGGACAGTGGCAAGGTTCTGTCCATGGGCAACAAGGCAGCATTAGAATTGATCCCCTGGGCCCTGGGTCTGGACAGATGGCAGGCTGCCCATGCTGGCTGGAAGACCACACTGGACATCCTGGGTCATGGATCAGCTGTTAATCAGACTTCAGCATACACAGGGTCAGCCCAGAGAGCACAATGGAGGGCAGAGTGAGGGCTCTGAGTCTAGACTTCAGGTATCTGGGCTTAACTAGGTCAGGAAGACACGAGGACACAGAGAAACTGTCAGACTGGGTGAAGTACCCAGAGTTTAGCCCTCCCTGGACAAGCCTTAGTGGGTGGGACCCCCTGAGACAGAGACTCATCTGTCCTCAGAGCCCCTTACCCCTCAGGCTGAAGTCTCACCATCAGTCAGTACTCTGGATTCCTTGAAAGGAACGTTAGACTAAAAATATAGTCAGGCTCATAGAGCCACATGGATGTGAGCAAAGTCAGAAGTGGTCAGAAGCTTTTGAGGAGGGTCTTGGGGCTCCTGTTCCCCTGTAGCCTAGAGGGAGGCATCCCCAAGAATTCAGCCAAGGTATGAGGTCCAGTGACCAGGCCTTGGTGCCTGAGCATGATGGTAGAGACTTAGAAGAGCCCAAACTTATCCAAGTTCCTAGAGAGCTGAGTGAACCTTGTACCTTAGGGGACATGAGGCTCTAGGCCCTACTATGTGCTGAGCACCAACCAGGGCCTCCTCTCAGTACCACCAGAATTTCCTGCT